CCCCAGGCCTCCCCACTTCCCCCCTCCATCTCCCCTTCCTTCCTCTCCAGCTGCTCCCCTAAACCTTCCCTCCCTCCTGCTCCCTTTTCCCTCTCTCTGACCACCCCAGGCTGCCCCCCATGCACCAGCCCCCTCCAGTACCTCTCTGTGACCTTGTGCTGCCTTCGATTCCCCAGCCGTAATGTGTGAAACCATCTCCCATGCTGTGTGTCGAGTACTCACGTATTTTTAGCTGCTTTTCTCTGGTTAGACAGGTTGGACCGACAGGTAGTGTGCATTCATCCCGGACACTGAGCTCCTCAGCTGTAGCGACAGGCCGCTGTCGTGGTACGCCACGTTTCTAAAACAGGCATTGGTACATCCTTGTGTCATGGTATCTTGTGCCTGGCTCTGTTTGGTTTGGTGCTGTGCCATTCTGCTGCGTCCCCAGCTGGGTAACAGGGGCTTAGCGAGGGCATAAAGATCCGCGCCTCAACTCTCTGGAAGCTGACCCCCATATCCAAAAGATTTAATAACAACTTTTTTGGTGTCTGTACTGAGAAAACACTCAAAATGAGTCATCTGTCATTACCCTGCAGTGGGAACAACAAAGGTGACACATTTCCTTCTTTCTTACTTCTAGCCCTTTGAGGATTAGCAACCTTTAACCGTTGTTATCAGTTTGACCCTGACAATAAGTTGTGCAAATGAACGTGTTCAGTCCCTTTCTGACTCATCCCCGTCCAACCTTCGTGTTTACTTAGGAGTGCGCAAGGCAAATTGCTTTGTCTTTCTTCCTGCAACGCAGTGTCTGTTGGAGTCTTTTGCTGGAAAGAAAAAGGAGTATCCCTTAGTACGGCTTTATCTCTGCCCGTCTTGCTGAGAGAGCAGGGAAGAGGCAGACTGACAATCTGGGTATCAGCATTAATTTAGAAATTTCCCTTTTCCACGCATACTTTCAACCACCTTTTCAGTGTTATCATCCTAGATAACGTTAACTTTCTGCCATTAATGGTCTTGGCCACCTTTCATTTTCATTTGTAGTTTCTATTCTGCATGCCCAAGCGTGTGCAGAATGCTGCTGCACGCTTCCTGCATTTAAAGGAAAAACCTCAGAGGTGGTTAAAGCCTCCTTTGCTTTTGAAACACTCCCTTGACTTGCCCTTTATAATGATTTGATAATGCCTATCGAAGGAAAGATCTGTGATCCTCAATTAAAAACCCCCTTAGGACACAAAAGTGCCTGCAGGTCAGGATAAATGTTTAAGAAAATCATAGTTATGTTGACGAGAGAGGCTAGCCATTGCCATTATATAATCAGCTGGCAAAGGACCTTGTGAAAAAACAAGGAGGTTGAGCATGTTTTCTTTCTCGCTGCTGAAAACAATAGGGCAGGATGAGGTGTTAATTTATTTCAGGACCTGCCAGCTGGCTAATTGCAAGGCAAGTCCATCCTGCCTCCCAGTGACTTGAGATGCCTCCTTCTGCGCCTGTGCTTGCCCAGACGTTCCACAGTTGGAACCCTGGCAGCGTCTGCAGCAGGGCGATCTTTGCACGGCCTCGAGCGGACAGTGCCATAAACGTACACAGCGCTTTGCACGGCACAAAGCCCGTCTTTGGTATATACAGCCTGCCCACCTAGTAACATGAGAAAAGACTTGATTTCACTGAAAATAATTAAACAGGAAGGAAGATGAAGGGAGATGATAAGAATTCCAGGGAAGATCTTGACAGAACTAAGAAAGAAGTTAGTGGGGAAAAAAATTACAAAACATACAAATTACAGCATACGGAGTGTTTGTCAGGGGTCTGTGAAAGTAAAAGGACCAGAGCTGCCGTTTTCTGACAGAGCCCAAACCAGCTCTGATCCCCATGCCGTCGGGATTCACCAGCCTGCAGCTATATTCACAGTAAGAAGTCGTGCCTCACCAGAGCTCGCAGGTTGCAACTTTGCTGCTCGTTACGCCTGACCACAGGAAAAACGACCATAATTTGTGTCCAGGCCTTAGCTTTGGGCTCAGTGACAGCACAGGTTGCAGAGATGCCGTCTTGAGCGATGGAGGGCTTCTCTGCAGCGGGGCTTGCTCTGGAGCAGCCACTGCTGGTGGAGACATTGATTATGTAGTAAGAGCAATATCCAGGGGGGAAATTTGGAATAGCTGTTCTGCTTTACTAACCTTGCCTTAGTCCAGGTAAATTAGTCTGGATACACACGCAAATACTCCCACCAGGTGGAAAATCTGCGTAGTCTGTGCGCCTTACCCCCACGTAGCTTCGGTCCCACTGCACCCGCATGGCAGCCGGACCCCAAAGCTGCGTCTGACCAACACCCGAATGTTGCAAACGTCTGCGTAAGCTTATGAATGTCACCAGCTAACAGGGGCACAGCACAGCGTTTCCTCTCTGACGACTTCTCCAGTCTGTGAAAATGGCAGCTGCTCATGTGAAAAGACAGGGTCAGATTAAATTCAGGGTGCTTCAGCACCTGCCACGTATTTAGCGCAGCACCAGCATCACGTTGGGATGCCTGTCCACGATGAAACGGGAAGACTCCACGTTCTGTCGTCTTCCTTGCGTGAAAGCGGTGATCGTAGAGCACTGGTTTAATTGCATTAAAACAGTTGCATTCATTTTTTTTTTCTTGAAAGCTTCTCACTTCAAGTCTTTGCGTAGACAAGTCCTATAAACTGGAAAGTCTTAAACACCCTGTTTTCAGCATTTCTACCATCCCACCATACAGAAGCTTCACTCCTTAAACCACTTGGAATATAGGAAAAACATAGCCTCAGGCCAACAGTCCATCTAACCCAATGTCCAGCCAGCAGCAAGGACTAACAGAAGATGCTAAGAAGGAGAACAAATAATATGAGGTACCTCACATCTTGATTAAATCTTTTCCTTTATATCTCAAAGATTTAGAAAAAAAAAAAAATGAAGCGAATGTGGAACTTCACCAGAAAGATGACTTTGGATTCCCCTTGAGGTGACATTTCTTCTGATGCTCTTGTCCTCAGGTATGTGGCATATTGGTTGGTTTGTTTGTTTTCAGGCAAAAATCTGTTAGCTCAGAAATAATGCTAAGGCACTACTAGCATTTAAATGCTAAAAGAAAAGTAAAATCTAAGCATTGGAGTGACTGCTTGAAATTTTGAATTACATGCCCAGGCACATAACGTCTATAGCAGAGATTGCCGTGCAAAATATGCATTTCTCTTTCAAATTTCTAATTTACTCATACAAGAGATGGGGCTGTGAAGTTCTATTCATCACTGTTTTTACTGCATTACGGTCTTAAAATGAAAGTCAACATTAGAGGGTCAATGTTATACTTAGCTTAAAAATGAAAGCTTAAGGGAAAGAAGGCAAGCAACTTCTGTTCTTACTCACTACATCTCCTGTTAGACACCTTCATCTGCTACTTAACATCGTCCTTACAAGCAGCTGAACCTTTAATTTTATGAGGATGTAATTGTACGTTCTTTTCAAGGGTTATCTGTTAGAGCTGGCTTTTGTTACCTCCCAGGAGAATGCCGGAGCTCATTTGCTCTTGTCTGAACCACTAATATTCCAGGCTTAAAAGCAGCACAAACACAAGTCATCAGTTTCTGGTAAATAAGCACTTCTCATTTGGGTTGTTATGTATTATGTGATGAACTTATCAGCCTGGCTTTCCACAAGCTGGCAAAGGTCAGCAAAAAGATATGACAAAGGTCTGCCTGTGACCGAATACCCGCTGCGTGCAGTAAGTCTGCGTCAGAAGTATGCTAAGGTCTCCTAAGTGAGATGCAAAGGAGTTGATCAGCTCTGATCTGTTGGAGCAGAGGAGGCTGAGGGGAGCCCTCATCGCTCCCTACAACTGCCTGAGAGGAGGGGGGAGCCGGGGGGGTCGGGCTCTGCTCCCAGGGAAGGGGCGATGGGACGAGGGGCACCGGCCTCAAGTTGTGCCAGGGCAGGGTGAGGTTGGCCATGGGGAACAATTCCTTCCCCTTGGGGCTGTCAGGGGCTGGAAGGGGCTGCCCAGGGAAGGGGTCGAGTCCCCAGCCCTGGGGGGATTTAACAGCCGGGCAGAGGCGGTGCTGAGGGCCAGGGTTTGGGGGTGGGATGGCAGGGTTAGGGTAGCAGTTGGGCTTGATGATCTTAAAGGGCTTTTCCAACCTAAACAAGTCTGTGATTCTGTAAGAAAGCACTTTTTCACTGTGAGGGTGACTGAGCACTGGCACAGGTTGCCCAGGGAGGCTGTAGTATCTCCATCCTTGGGAGATATCCAAAAGCCGTCGTGCACTCGGTGGCCCTGCTTGAGCAGGGGGTTGGACAAGATGACCTTATCCTCATTTCGGCTGGGATAGAGTTAATTTTCTTCCTAGTAGCTGGCAACCACCACCTCTCTGGGCAACCCATTCCAGTGTTCCACCACCCTCATTGTAAAGAATTTCTTCCTTATATCCACTCTAAATCTCCCCTCCTTTTGTTTAAAACCTTTGCCCCTTGTCCTGTCACAGCAGGCCTTGCTAAAAAGATTGTCCCCATCTTTCCTATAGGCCCCCTTTAAGTACTGAAAGGCCACAATAAGGTCTCTCCACAGCCTTCTCTTCTCCAGGCTGAACATGACAGTGTGAGTGCAGTTAGCTGTTTCACTCCACTGTAAATGGGCCTTTTCCTCCCATCTGTAAAAACTCGGTAGCTGCCGTACTGCCACCAGGAAAAAGCAGCCCTTGAGTTTAAAGGTGGTGGCTGGTAGCACTCAGCTCTTGCTCACAGACATCCGTGAGCTTATTTAAGTGACGCTTATATCAAATCTTGAGTCACACAGTATGACAGGTAGTAAATGAGCACAGATCTTAAAGTAATTTTAGGTAATTTTCTCCACGTCTGCCCAGTTGATTGTTAATGCAAGTTAGAGGCTCTACAACAGCCACTATCAGTTAAACTGTCACTACTGGGACACGTTCTCTGTCAGCCTCACTAATTCTAACATGGTGTTATGACACAAGGGTAACAAGAAAATAGAGTCAGTTATTCACAGTGACCCATCTGACCTTATTCTGGCAGCAACAAATGCCGAGACACGTAGTCAAGTGACACCACTGGTTTCTTTTCTCATGATCTCCTAAGAATTTCAGAATTAACATTTCCAGATGTTATTTCTGCTTATTTACAGTTGCTTCTATGCTGTGAAGTCAAATGTTCCCTTTGGGTTTGCAGGGCAGGACTGAGAGCAACATCAAACTGCTGTACTTGAAGCAGCCTGCCTCAAGAAAAGCAAAACCTTTGAGCAATCTTAGTAAACCTTTGTATTTGATTCCTCAGTGTTCGGAGTTAGTCGTCAGCACTGCAATGTGGTGGTTTCAGCAAGGCCTCTCTTTCTTGCCTGTGGCTTTGGTTGTTTGGTCAGCTGCATCTTTTGTGTTTTCATACATCACTGCAATCGCCCTCCACCACGTCGACCCTTTGGTGCCCTACATCAGGTCAGTAACATTCACACAACTGCCCCGTTAACTGTACCACAGATTGAATTGGCCTCTCCTGGGAATTTTTGCCCAACTCCAAGTTTTAAATATCAGTTCTTACCCAACGGCTCCAGTTCTAAAGTTACCAGCTATTTATAGTTATTTGTGTATAACTCCATTTCAAGCAGCCTATTTTTGTGCAAAAGTCTAACCTTTAAGCTGTGGCTCTGAACGTACCCTTAAAACAATGATGAGCAAGAACGCTGGGGGTGCAGCTCCAACCCTCTGTTCAGATTATGGATCTATATTCCCAGCTGCACTGCATCAAGGCTGTACATACAAGCTTAGTTTTGGTCTTTCAGTTTTCCAGGTTCTTTATTTTTCCAGTTTTCATAGTCTTTATATTCACCTTTTATGGACTCAAGGTCAATATAAAGGGAATGGTTATACCAAGTATGTTCATTCCTTGCTCTAAGGGTAGCATGTCTTTACCATGTTTATTTCTACAGCTCTAAAACTAGCACAGGATAGTTTGAGTAACGAAAAATTCAGTGAAAAATAATCTGGAAGCTTTTTTTTGGTTGGTTGGTTGGGTTTTTGTTTGGCTGGGTGGTTTGGGGAGTTTTGTATTTTGGTTTGGTGGGGGGCTTGGGGGGGTTGGTTGGGGTTTGTTTTTTGGTTGTTTTGGTTTTTTTTTTATTACAAACCTCTTTCTTTTGGTTCCTTTGTAGATTGAAACAAGTACAGTTGTGTTGCAAGTATTTGTAGTGTAGATAGACACATATCACTCCATTTATCTCTTCCAGTGATACAGGGACAATACCACCTGAAAGATGCTTATTTGGGATCATGTTAAATATTTCAGCTTTCTTGGGTGAGTACAGAAAACTGTCCTTGGTGAACTGCAGGCAGTTCTGGAACGCACACAGTTTTAAACAATTTAATTTCCTTGTTCAGATCACTAGACAGCCCATAATTTGCAGTCGAAAACTAAATTCAAAGCAATCAATCTTAATTCTCTTGAAGCAGTTCAGAGGAAAGTGTATGTCAGGGATGTTATCCACAAAGCCAGCATGACAATTGCAGATTCCAGAAGGCTAAAATTGTGTTTAAAAAAACCAAACCCAACAGACTAGTAAAAGAAATAGAAATGCAAATTCAAGGCAGGCTCTATACTTGTGCTGCAATTATGGAGGGGGGGGGGAAACAACCTAGTGTGTCTTCCAAGTGGAAGAGATCAGAAAAATCTAGTAAGTTGACTTGTTTACCATTACATTATTTGAGTTTTGGCTTCCAGATTCTCAGCTTTCCCATTTCAGTGTACCATAAGACAGCTTTTGTATTTTAAATAGTTGCCTCTGCCACTCAGCATCTTCCCAGTTAAAAAGGGACTTTCTACTTGTCAGCTGAAAATCTTACTGTGTTTGGGTTCTTCATTAACAGGTGTGGCTACCATGTATGTCCGTTATAAACAAGTGTACACTTTGAATCCAGAAAAATCCAAGATCATCAAGCTTAATAAGATTGGCCTTACCCTAGGACTGATGAGCTGTTTTGGACTTTGCATTATTGCAAATTTCCAGGTTTGTGCTTTGCTTGCAATCTTCTGACGCTGTCCAGAGTGGGGTGTGTTTGTTTACTGAGATACCTGATAGAATGGGGATTTTACTGAAAGCAAAACTTTTTGGGGCAAACCTGGTTCTTGTCAAATCCCCTACAGAAAACTATTAAAAAATTGAAGGTTTGGTTTATAATTTACTTATTTCTTATTTGCTTTATCCACTGGGACTTGTGCATAGCCACTTGTGAAATTTCAAAGCATTAAAACCCCCACAAGTTTTGCAGAAAGCAAACTCATCTTGGATCTGCTTATAGGGGATTTGAAAGCCCTAGCTCCAGGTGAAAAGACCACGACTATATTGTATTTTGCCTCAGGAAAATCTGGTATCAAATAGTCAAAAATTGTTACAGCTAGAAGTAAAGCCAACAAACACACCCAACCCCACAAGAAGGCCAGCTCTGAAAAATCTGCCCTCGTAGGTATATTTTCCTTTAAACCTGCTCAATTCTTGAAAATACTGCAATGTTAACCAGCTTTTGAATTTCTCCATCCCAGGGTCTCTATTTTTTTCCCCTCTCCAATACTTCCCACCCCTCCAAAAAAAAACAAACAACCTGATATTCTCACATACCACACCATCAGCAGGGCCACATTCTACATCGTTGGCTGTTACATGCAAGACAGTCGTACAATTGCCAGCTTCATCATATTAATTACCTGCTGGATGTTTAGGGGATCTGTAGTGCTGCCTTTAGCCACTAGAGGCTGCAGCGAGACCTTGGTCGCCTGCTGGATTAGGGTCAGGGAAAAGAAAAAGAGGAAAAGCTCCGTCGTTTTCCCTTCTCCTTTTCCCCTAGCACAGCTCTCCCAAGTGCTTCAGCAGCCCCTGCCTTAGAAACCTCAGCACACTCATTTGGGGTTTTGGAGGGGTTTTTTGGTTTGGTTTTTTTATTGTTGTTGGGTTTGGGTTTTTGGGGGTTTGTTTGGGTTTGGGTTGGTGGGGGGTTTGGGGGTTTTTTTTTGAGGCCTCAATCTATTTACCTTTTTTCTAAAGCCCTAGCTATATTCAGAGGCCACAGCCTCCCCTACCACCCCCACCAGGCAAAAGCTGTGTTCAGCTCCATGACTTCCCTCCACCACTGGTCAGGAGAGGGGGTGTCTACTTTCTGTAGATTTCAAGATAATCAAAATACAGAAGGTGCATGTTAATTTGTTAACTAGTTTGTGTAACATTTAATCTTGAGCAAGACAAATATTGGAAGCGATGTACCCGCATATCCAAGTGATGCTGAGGACTGTTGAGAGCTACCCCAGAGGCAAAAGGAGCGAAAGCCCCCTGGAATCCACTAGTTACCAAAGACAACTGAAGTGTGAAAATACACAAAGATGAACAAAGGGGATACGGGAGCAGCCGTCACGCAGAGAGCTCCAGACAGCTCTCACTGCTGGGAATCAAAGCAATTGCGCAGGGCTGATCCTCATGGGAGATTTAATTCACGCTGTGCAGCCAGTACTCCTGCTCCGGTCTAGCTGTGGCTATTGATTTGTTCTCACATAGGGCAAAGATTTCTCTCTGATGACACCTCGTCACTGAGCAGCACGTGATTTTGGAGCTCAAGCCTCTGCAGCTTGGTTATTCACTACTTAAATACAAATTCCCACCTCTGTTACGCTATGGATGCGGCACTCCAAATTCATTTGTGCGCATAGGGTGTACATGGAGATTGTGAGGACAGAGTGACTCCAATTCCTGATCTTAACAGTTACTTAGTAAAATACACAGACAGTCTCATGCTTTAGGGCATAAAAGATCACCCGCACGATTGGAGCACTGGGAGGCTGCCAGGCCTTGCATTGCACAACCGTCAAGATAACGCTTTTTAGTCTCTGTCTTTGGGTACTGTGCTTAGCCAGGTTAATGGTTGGACTTCATCATCTTAAAGGTTTTTTCCAACCTAAACGATTCTATGATTCTATGAAAGGACTGAACACAACATGATTTTTCAGGGTTAAGTTTTAGTTGGGTTGGTTTTCTCAGAATAACTTCTAGTTTTAATAATTTTTTACTATTTGACAGTTGATTCTCCTAATGCTTTTAAGTTAAGAAGTTTTATTGCTTGATTCAACCTTGTTCCTTCTCAGTATTCAAAGATACTAATTTGACAAACAAGGCTTATTCAAACTAGAGTAATTCAGAGAAGCACTTTACCTCGTTATTTTTATTCCCATTTGGGGTGCTAGAACTGCATTGTGTTGATCCTGTATTACATTATCTTTCATAGACATACAGATTCCTGGGACAGAAAAGCTCAGTAGACAGCCTGTTGTCACTCATTACCTGCCGAGCCGCAGGGATTCCTTCATCCAGTTTCTCAACTACTGTCCATTATGGCTAACGAGAACAGCTCTTACAAATTCCTGTAGTTAAGCTCTACCTGTGACCTGTAACTTAGCCACAAGAACTTAACAAAAGCAGCAATGCAGAGGGCTGGCAGGTGCTGGCTTCCAGCTAACTCTGTATGGAGGTTCCAAGAAAAATCTCCAAAGTACTAGCACGTTGCAGAACTGCTTAGCTTAGGATGTGAGAAGCTAATTGAGTGGGTGGAGTGCCCAAGGTTTACAGGGAAACTTGTTCTCAGAGTTTAAAATGAAAACAGGTTCTGTACGAGCAGTGCTTTCTTTCCCTAGAAGTGTATTCTGTACTACATACACGTGGTTGGAGCCTGCCTGACATTCGGAGTGGGGGCCATTTATATGCTGGTTCAGACCGTCCTGTCCTACCTGATGCAGCCAGAAGTTCACAGCAAAGACATCTTTTGGATCCGTCTGACCACGTTACTCTGGTGTTGTTCAAGCATCGTGAGCAGTATCCTTTTGCCGTGCAGTGTCACCGTAAAACGGAGCAGCCTTCACAAATGACGGTATTTGCATCTACATTGGTGTAGCCTGGGAACTTGAGGAGAAGGGGAACCATCAGGTTAAGCCCACAGGTGAGTCACTGGATAATAAAAATAAATAAATAAATAAGGTAAGAGGGACGGTTACCACCCTGTCTCCTCTCCTTTCCTTCTGCTCACCAGAGACTGAAAATGGCAAAGTAAGAGTTTATCACAAAGAGACTGTAGATTATGAAAGATGGGGAGAAAGGGAAGCGTACTTAAGAGATGGGTGGTTTTAATGTGGTTTTACCCCATAAAAGCCAGGTTAGAAACAACGTGCCTGTCCCCTGGTGGCAGGAACGCTGCTTTTATAGTTGGATACAACTAAAAGAGAAGGACAGAATGTAGCGTAAGAGGAAATACTGCAAACCTAACTGTGTGCAGCAGTGCTGTGCCGTGCCAGCTGCCTCCCAGAGCAGGTTTAAAGTGCTGGCATTTATCAGAGAGACAATTCTGGAGCTTATTGCCAAGGCTGAGGCAGAAGAGGCATTTGACCTCTGCTCTCCTCCCCTGCCCATCCTACAGTTCAAAAGACAAGACATTTCTGACCGGCGTTCCCTACAACCTTCCCTCCGCTCTGGAATCCGTCATCTCCCTTAACTTTGAATTCCGAGTGCTGGAAGCAGCTGTGGGATTTACAGAAATATAGGCAAACCCATGCAGAAAAAGAGGCCTTTTTCCTGTCCAGACTCTTTTAATAATGAGGAAACTGAACCACAGCGGTTCTTCTGCTCACCCCGATGGACCTAAACATTGTATTTTTAAAATAATGACTCAGTTTTGTGTCAAAAAGGACTACAACACGAAAGCCTTCAAATTTACATTCCAAAGACATGAGTGCAAAAATCATTGCTTAAATGCTTTCCTTTCTGCAGCTGAATCAAGGCCACCAGTTTAATCCCTACCAATTCCACTCATTTCTAGGCTGGCAGCCAAAACCAACGCTAAGCCATACGCCCCATTTCCCCGTGACGGAGCATCACGCCGCACCCCAT